GAAAAGAGGAGAGACTTGGAGAGGAAAGGCCTGCCTTTCCCTCATCCTAATAGGTCAAGGATGCAGACAGAGGAAGAAGCTAACATTTTTTCAATATGGATTAGTATCAGCCCTTATACCTGGGTTTTACAGATCTTTCTCCTCAAGGCTTCTCCATTACCCTGCATGGTAACTACCACTAACACCAACACCCCTCAAGCTAAGGCTCAGAGACATTAAGTGATGTGCACAAAGTCACAAATCCAGCCTTCATATCTCTATGTGTCTCATTCTGAGGCAGTAGAATAGCAGGGAAAGCAATAACAATCTATGTCCCACAGCAAATGCACACTTTGCATCATGCTTTCTTTGGGTTTTGCTAGCAAAGGTGCAAACTTTTATTTCCCTATAGAAGTCAAGTCTCATTGTATCTTAATTGAAAATAAAATATTTATAAAAATAAATTTAAAATAAAACAAATATTTTTATTAGTCTTGGGGCTTGAACTCGGGGCCTGGGCACTGCCCCTGAGCTTTTGTGCTCAAGGTTAACACTCTACCATTTTGAACCACAGCTCTACTTCTGGTTGGGTGCTTAATTGGAGATAAGAGTTTTGCCAACTTTCCTACCCAGGGTAGCTTTGAATCACCATCCTCAGATCTCAGTCTCCTGAATAGCTAGGATTACAGGCATGAGCCACCAGCACCCAGCCAGTAATTTTAAAGTAACAGTACTCTAAAGTTATATGTAGCTGGGTTTGGCTGAGCAATTTCACCCCCCAAAAAAGTGAAAACCTATGTCACAAATTCCACAGGCAGCTCTGCTCATCACAGTCAATGTGGGAGCAATGCAAATTCCCATCAGCTGATAAAAGGATAAACAATTGGGATCTGTACATGCGTGGAATATTACTAGCAATAAAAGGACTGCATTGCTGACATTCAGTATAACATGGACCTCCCTGCAAGTATTGTACCAAGAGAAGCCAGACATCGAGAGCAATCCACAATTGGTATAAAATGTCCCGAATAGGCAAATCCACAGAGAGAGAAAAGAAAACTGCTGCAGGGGTTGCTAGGGGCTGAGAAATAGAAGGGTGGACGGGAGATATAAGACCCCATTTAGAGGTGATAAATATGTCAAAGCATTGGTTGTGAAATGACTGAGCTACTTTAATTTTTTATTTTTTGGTCTTTTTAAAAGTTGTCACTGTCAAGGTGATGTGCAAAGGGGTTAGAGTTACGTAAGTCAGGTAATGAGGACATTTCTTTTTGAACAATGTCAATCTTCCCTCATTTTCTCCCAGTTTTTCCCTCCTTCCCCATTATATAGTTCATTTTCAAAATAGTGCCTAGTAAGTATCACTGTTGCATTTGTTCACCCACTACATTGGCGGGGTTTTCTTTTTGTTTTGTTTTTGTTTTTTTTAATTACCTTTGGCTGGGCTCTGGTGGCTTACACCTGTAATCCTAGCTACTCAGGAGGTTCAAATCTGAGGATTTTGGTCCGAAGCTAACCTGAGCAGGAGACTCTTGTCTCCAATTAACCACCCCAAAACTGGAAGTGAAACTGTGGCTCAAAGTGGTAGAGTGCTAACCTTGAGTACAAAAGCTCAGGAACAGCATGCCTAGACCCTGAGTTCAAGCCCCAAGACTGATAAAAAATAACCTTCAAATAGTTGTACAAGGGAGTTTCAATTTAACATGTCCATTGATAAGTTCAATGCATGACACTCACCCTTTCAGTCACTCTGATTGTATTACTTTGTAAATATAGAAATCAAATGGATGAACTGTACGGTATGTACATCTGAACTCAATAAAGCTGTTTGTTATATGTTTATAATGAAAATCTATATGATGAAAAAACCAAAATTGCACATTTGGTAGGCTCTCAATAAGTATCTAGTGAATGCAACAAGTTTCTTTTGCTGTGTGCATGCCAGTTCTGGGGCTTGAACTCAAACCTGGGCACTATCTCTTTCAGCTTTTAAGCTTAAGGCTAGCACTCTACCACTGGAGCCACAGTTCTACTTCCAGCTTTCTTTGCCCTTACCTGGAGGTGAGTATCTCATCTACTTTCCTGGCATGGCTGGTTTTGAACTGTGATCCTCAGATCTCAGCCTTCTGAGTGGCTAAGATTATTAGCATACATCCTTGGTGCCTGACTGCACCGAGATTATTTTTTAATGATCACTTTGGAAATAAGTTGGTTGAAATTCAAGTATGTCTTTTCAGTATTTATTGTTCGAAAGGTATGCTTCTTTTGCACAACACTGCCCAAAGTATGCCCTAAGCTCAACTATTCTGGGGATCAAATGTGGTCATGTATTGACATGCCGTGAGTGCTAGCAGCCCAGTTATGCAGCCCGCATGGGACTGCACAGGGCTGCATGGTCGGACCCTGCACAGGACCCCAACAGGACTCATGGCAGTAAAAGAATCATCTGTGATTGGCAGACAATCAAGATGCCATGAGTGTTGATTACTCCCTTATCTCCCTCAATACCCCAAATCCAGCCCAGCAGAGATGTTCCAGCATGATTAAGGGCTCTCAGCCAACGAAGATGTCATCAGAGTCCTAAAATCTGGGGAAATGAGCAGTAATCTTCTTTGTTTCTTTCCTAGAAAATTTCCTAAAAGCAAATCCTGGTAACGCTTATCTATTTATAGCCACATTTGGGATCAAATGGAACATTATAGAAAGGGGGGGGGAATCAATAAATTCTGGAGTTAGAGTGGAAACCAGTATCTGTGCTTGTAGAGTGTGGGGGGGGGCATGGAAGAAACTGATGTCATGATTGGAGATTCAGCTGAGGCATTGGGCCGATAGGAACGGTTGGAGAAAATCCAAGGAAAAAGTATCGAGATGCAGAGTGCACTGAGAAACAAATAAGGTGGAGAAATACTGCCTTACACAGCAAAGCAAACTGGCTCCACAGACAAGCTTCTGATAACCAGATAAAGTCCAGAACTTAGCCCTGACTAGACCAATCTCTCCAAGGATGGTTTCCAAACCTTCCTCCTCTTGTGAGCAAAACCCTCCCAAGAATTCTTTACAAAGTACCTATTTCACGTCTCTTGAATCCTAAGGCAACAAAAAAACAAAGTGAGCCTTAGTGTGCCCTGTATAAAATGAAAACGAGAATTTGGTACAAAACTGGAAAATACTTTTCCAAGGTTCAGTGAGACCAGCTGAGCTCCTGACTTCTCTTCTCCAAAGACAGATTCACTGCTGTACTGCAAGAGAACATTCAGTCCTGTCTATAAGCAGCTATCCTGGTGGGAAAAATAAGAAACCACAACTATAAAAATGAGTTATGTTCAGCCTATTAAAAAAATAAAAAGGAGAGCTGAGAGCTTTGTATAAATTATTCCAATCCATTTCCAAGAGAGTTCTGTGGGATGGGAATTCCACAGGTGAGGAAGAAACTAAGGTTTCAAAGAAATGAGGCCAGGGTTAGATGCACGGCTCAGGTGGTAGAGAGCCAGCCACTGAGCACAAACATTAGATCCAAGTTCAAGTCTCAGACAAACAAAGAGAAGGAGGAGGAGGAGGAGGAGGAGGAGGAGGAGGAGGAGGAGGAGGAGGAGGAGGAGGAGGAGGAGGAGGAGGAGGAGGAGGAGGAGGAGGAGGAGGAGGAGGCGGCGGCGGCAGCAGTGAAGAAATCAGGCAGATTCCCCAAAGTTTTTCCAAAGTCACAGCTGTCAAATGGCATGTTTTGATTCTGAGTCTTCTAGACAGTGTTTCCTCTGTTCCCCTCTTCTTTCCACTGTGGATCTATAATCCATTCATTGGGCCATACAAGAGCTTCTAGAATGAAATGCTGATAATGTGATGGAGATATCTGATCCCTAAGTAGACCAGAGAGGGTATCAAGAGGCATTGGAAGTTGGGGTATCTACAAGATAGGGATTCCTATAACACAGGGGGTACAGGCAATATGAGTCTGATAAAAAAAATACAGCAGTGGCCAGCTGGGCACCAGTAGCTCATGCCTCTAATCCTGGCTACTCAGGAGGCTGAGATCTGAGGATCACGGTTCAAAGCTAGCCCAGGCAGAAAAGTCCGTGATGCTCCTATCTCCAATAGACCATTCAGAAAAAGCTGGAAGTGGTGCTGTGGCTCAAGTGGTAGAGTTCTAGTCTTGAGTACAAAGAGCTTAGGAACAGCACCCAGGCCCTGAGTTCAAGCTCCAGGACTGGAAAACAAACAAAAAAACCCAGCAGTAGTCACATGACCTCTACTTCCCAGACCTGAAGCTTCTAGACTATTTTATTGTCTTCACTTCTAAAAAACATATAAAAACATAAGAATTTAGAGACTGAATATTAAATATTACTCTGGTAGCATGATTTAGACTGTAAATAATTTAACATCTATGTTGTGCTCCTGGATTGGTCAAGTATTGCCATAATCAATAATAAACAAAGCTGAGAAGACAAGCAATCATAGTAGCTATTAACTTTTCTTCCACCATTCACAAAAAATGAGAACATAATAAAAATCATGGATATTTTGTTTCTTAACCAGTGAAAATTACTTTCAATCATGCATCTTCCCTTTGAGTTTTCTGCACAAATTAACCAAATGTTTCTTCTCTCCAGTAGCAAAGTCACCTGTCCAAGTTCCCGTGACTCTCAGTGACAGGGACACACCACTTGTACCTTAGGGCCCCAAGGACAGGAATCTTTTGCTCTTGAGAAATCTCTCTGAGCCAATCACCCAATATGGCCACCACCTTTGCTCTTGTAGGCTGCAAATATCAGAGAAGGAAATGTTGCCTTTGAGACATCCGTCTATGAGTTACTTAGGGGAAACAATACTAGACAAGGAGTCCTAGTTCTAATCTAGCTGGACACTAACTATGGAGCTGACATCATCCAGGACTTTCTCTTTCCTGGCTGCAAAGTTCTCCTGTGCGAAATGAAGGACTCAACAGGTTGTCCCCAACTGGTATCTCCCACTGGGGGGCGGGGATAATTTTCCCTTCAGCTCTTCCTGGTAATCTGAGCAAGTACCTGTTTCTTGGTCACGGTACCATCCACAGGGTCCACGTATTCAAAGCTGTCTGTCTTTGCCACACTGTAGATATGGCTCCCCACAGCAAACTGCTGGCCGATGAAGGACTTGTCTGTGACCAGGACCTCCAAGTCCCTCATAATGTAATAAGTCGCCTTGGGCTCCAGCCCCTCATAGTCAAACCTAGGCAAAGGAAGGTGGGATACAGGAAGAATAAGAAACCCAGCAACTAAACGGGCCCCTTGAGGTCATCTAGACATTGGTTGTGATTTCAGGAAATGAGGGCACAGAAATGGAGCCCTACCTCATTTCCGCTCTTCCAAAATGCCCTTGCAAGGATGAGAAGAAGAGCAATGCTAAGTCAAGTGTGCAGGGGAGGGCTGTGGTTGGTATGTTAAATGCTTTCAGAACAGGAGTGGTATGATTTGGACTCTCATCCTTGTTCACTTGCTGTAATCATCAGGCCTCCTCTTCAATCCTTAGTGACCCGTCACCCTTTCCTGTCCCCAGCTTTTGTCCCTGCTCTTTGTTTCCTTTACCTCAGCTGTCTCTCTACTCCTCTAGATCTGGAACATTCCCAGAGCTGGATCATCTTCTTTCAATCTTCAAACCTACATCACCTCTAAAAAATACCTTCCTGAGCAGGCATCATCCTAGTATCTATTCCTATCCATGGCTTATGCCCATACATATATATATATTTACAGTTAATCTATACTATATAAATATATTATATATAAATATAATATAATATATAAAATAAACATACTATTTATATTATATAATATAATATACTATATATAAGTATTAACTGGGATATATATCTCAGTTATATAATATGTACTATTATATAATATATAATATACT